GAATTGTCCCAAGGCTTCACGTTTTCTCATGCCGAGTGATACATGCTTTTTCAGTCCCTTCTCATTCCTGGAACTGATAGAGGCAGTGCTCTAACAAGCTTCTTAAAGTCAATGGCAATCTCTGAAAGTTTGTGTGTAATGCAAAATAAAGCCCTATGTAAATAAGATGACAGGCAAACAGATAAGCAATAAAGACCAGAACACAAAAATGTCAGCATAATGTGAAGGGTGCATGTGTGTTGCAGTTAATCTTTTTAAAATATTGCTTAGGAAACAAAAAGAAACTTTGCATCAATGTGATGTTCAAGTACATCTTTGCTGTCCTACTGTTGCCTCCTGCTACAGAGGTGCTGCATGTGGCTGGTGGCACTACATTTGTTTTTAGAAACGACACCCTGATGGCTGGTTACTGAAATGTCACCTGGCACCTCTGCCATGCAGGGGTGTGGGACCAGCCTTGGTCTTTCACCAGGATGAGTTCCTGTCCTCGCCCTGCTGTATCTCCAGCTCCAGAAAGGCCTGCCTTGAGGTTTAAGTTTCCTTTTTCTTGAAGAACACTGTTTACTTCCTAGCCTGGTTGTCTAAGAAGGCATAGAATCATAGAATGCTTTGGGTTGGAAGGGACCTTGAGAGATCATCAAGCCCAACCCCCCTGCAGTGAGCATGCATACATGCATGCACATATCTGTCTCTGTTCACCTCCATCCTTAACTTTTAAACCCAATGAACAATTTCAGAGCAATTTGACAGCAGGGAAAAGCTCTCAGCTGGATAAGCACCTCTACAGCCACCCAAGGAGGCTACAGAGACATTATCCCTATTTCTCATGTGCAATGTAATAGTGAGAAGAGCTGTCATGGCAGCGCAGCTATGTAAGCTTTTAATTGACCACAAGAAGTTTGTATTCATTTCAGTTGTGCAATAAAGAAATGGGATCTGTAGCTGGCTGAGAACTTTGTAGACTGACAGAAGGAAAGGGAGTAGGAATTACTTGAACAGAGAAGGCATTTGGCGTACATCGTAAAGCCTTACCACTTGTACTTTGCTGAACTGGAATGTGTTTTGATTCAGATGTTTAGACATTGGCTAATAAGAGTGTTTAGATAAGGTATCTGTGAGATTGGACTGTTTTGACACCAAGGCTATTTAAAAGCTGCTTTTTAGGTCACTGGGACGTTAATGGTATTGTAAATGTGGAACTACTGCGCATGAGAGTGAACTGCTTTTAGTCAGTGAAATACCTTACGTATACTGTGGTGAATCCATAAAGAAGTATGTACATTTGATGATCTGAGTTATAAAAAGTGTGTTTGAGGAATAGCCATAGATCTCCCTAAAATAATACCTTTGCCATTTGTGATTCATTTTGTCCTGCTAAGCCAGGAAAGTTGTGGCCCAGAAATGGATAACAAAGTGCTGCCAAGTTTTTGCTTTGGAAGGTGGGTTTTTTTTGAGTGACTGCAATGGTGTAAATGGGATATAATTTTGCCTCTTAATTTCTGCTGAAGTAAATCTTTGGCTTTTTGTAATAATTTCAATATATCTCATTAGACTTGAACCTAACAATGCTAATTGGATCTTGTGTAATGTAACACAGCAGCTTGCCCTGTCATGAGAAAAATGTCAATTAGAAATCACAGTTAATCACTAGAAAAAAATTATTGGGTAAATAAGTCTTGCTCATTTACTGTTCACAGAACTGCACGGTCTGTAGTATACTTAACATTCAGGAGCCTTCCCAGTCTAGGAAAATAAAAGTACATACAGTATCAATATTTATGTGTTATTAAATCAGCAACAGGAGAAGATGTAGTCTGAAGGGCTATGCAGTTTAGCTTTCATATAAAGTGCCTTCAGTAATATGCCACTTAAAATGAGTATAATCAGTTTATAATATGCAATTTCTGAAATTTATTGCAGCTTTAAACATTACACTGCACTTAGGACAATGGATCCTACAGCTGTAAACTATTGTAACGTAGTGTCATCTGCACATCAGTAATGACCATCATCAATTAGGTAGAAACAACTATTTCCAGCATCACTTACAAAAAGCAATTTTAAATTGTCCCTTTAAAAATCTTCAGTAAAGACCTTTTTTTTTTCTTCAGGTAAATACCCATTTATTTTTAGGCACAATCTGACCTATTAGTGAACCTTATTTAAACTATAGCAACAAGTACTGATACAAATAGCTTTTTCCATTCTTAACACAAATATAGTTTCATAAATCAAAGCTACCATGCATTTCTGACTATTCTTAAGAGAAAACGTTATTCAAATATATTCGTTGCTTAATTTCTGCCACCCACTCTGTCATACACTAGTTGTCATCACTCTATATAGTAAGTCCAGACTACTTCCTGGGTGCGACAGCCCCCACAGGCAGGGCACACCTTGTGAGAAGGTAAATCTTTCCCTTCCATTAATTAACAGCTTTTATCACTGATAATGAGACTGTACACACAATAAAAACAAAACAAAAAAAAAGCTCCTGTGCATTATAACTTCATGTGTGGCCTTGACTGCCAGAAGACTGCGTGCCGTGCCGACAAGAAGGCAGATGTGTGTGGGCAGGGAGAGTTAACTCCTGGAGGGATGGAGCGGGCTGAAGCTCTTGCAACAGAAACTGAAGTGTAGCAGGCAGTGAGGGAGTCACACTTCAGGATAGTATCTTATCAGGTGTGTCAGCATATCCCCTGATTGGGTTTTAGTGTGGAGGGGGTGAGAGGAGAAGGCTCTTACAGCTCTAACATATAATTTCGGTTTTTTGGGGGAGAAAAAAAGATGCTGACACTCCTTCAGTATATGTTTCTGGTTTGTGTAAGAAGGAAGAAATGTAGCAAGGAAAATCCTCTCACAAATTGATTGAGCCTTTAGCATCTGAATCCACATATGATCACCTAGAATATAATCAAAGGGAATCACAGCAAAAACCACAGATCTTGTATATCTTTTAAGGAAATACTAGGTTTATTTCAGGGTTGCTCTCCAGATGAGGCACTAGGCATGCTGACTGATAGTTGTTAAAAGCTAAGAAAAATGGATAATCACGAAGAGAAGAAGGGAAATACATCAATGGGGTCTCAAAGTTCTTATCTGTATGGTTTTTTGCCTTCAAGAAAATAGCTAAGGATTATTGCATGCAAAAAAAAAAATATTTAAACATCGTAAGCTCAATGCTTAAGGAGTCGTGTTGTCATAGTGAAGCAGGACTAGAAAAGATCTCAAGAGATCATTACACTATGCCTCTGCCCCAAGACAGGATTAACAATGCCAATGTCATTTCTGACAGATGTTTAGCAATGTCATCTTAAAGACTTTTACTGAGAGAGATGTCATAACCTCCCTAGGCAATTTACTTGAGTGCTTAATTACCCTTATTCTTAGCAATTTTTTCCAAAGTCTTGCCTTGGTCTTTCTTGCAGCTAAGCCCATTACCTCTTGTCCTGCCAGTCTTAGCCATAAAGAACAGATTAGAGTCACACCCATAACGTTACGTGTCCATAACGGACGCCTTCTTGAAAAGAGCAGGATAGCAAAAGCAATTTTTCCCATAAGGATTAATGTGATGGGGGAAATGCATGCAGGGACTTAAGAACTACACACAGTTTAAATTCACAGGGAGCAGGAGCGGGATCACTGGGAGGTGAGTCTGGCTTTTCAGCACGTGGCTTTTCAGCATGGACCACTGTTCTGAAAGGTATCAGCTGCACCATCTATAAGACTGAATGTCCAGGAAAACTCTCGCAGTGTAAGCATTCTTGATGTCTCTTTCTGGACAGTTGCATCTTCATCATCTTCCTTAGATGAATCAAGGTCTATCAGCTCAATCATAGGCGAAGGACAGAAAAATGGGGTAACGATGGTGGTTAGTGAAGCACAGTATTAAATGGTCAGCAGCAGAACTCCTAAGAGGTGGACAGAGAAGTGGAGGACAGCCGAGGTGCCACTGTGTTCCCTTAATGTGTGCCGCATCCTTTTACACACGCAGAAATGATTGTCAAGTTCCCCCAGTATTTTCTCTCCTGCAAGCCATCCAATACCTATTTCCTCTCCCTTTTGCTGCTGTTCATGTCTACAAGTAGTGAAATGTGTTCAGAGAGATGACCCGGTCACTTTTTATTTTGTGGACCGGCTTGCTTTCTGGAAGGATCGGCTGCCTGAACTAGTAGGAGAAAGAAGGATTGCAGCTGCCTCGGCTGATAGCAGCTTAAATCGCACTGAATTGTAGTGTTAGTTCTCAAACACCATCCTGCTGTAACTTTGGCCTAATACAATACTACATTTCCTAACATTTGATGACGAGGAAGATCCTAGATCAGTATCATTAAGCCTGGATACCAAAGTCTGGCACCTGAAACTGTTTGGGGTCCTACATAAAAGCAACTTAATTTTCCAGGGTTTTGAGCAGTCTTTTGACTCAGCATAAGATAGTGATGTTTTAATAGAGTAATTTTTATTTAAGAGCCTAAACACAGATTCAGACGTGTAAATCCAGACAGGCAGCTTTGAAATAAACACAGAAGTAAAACCACACACAAACCTTTAAGACCAGGACTATGCACATGTATCATGTGCAACCATGAGGGGGGGGAATGGGTTTTAGCAATGAACCTAAATCTAAGATTAACTTACCTGTGTAAGATTACATTATAGAGTCTCAAACTATGAGTTGTTTTTATTTTGATGTAATTATGTCACTATTCTTAATAAATATCACAAGTTTGATTGAAGTGTGGGGGTGAACAAATACATGGGAACTGTTTACTGGCTGTGAAAGAGAGTAAGGGGTGAAGGTGGCTGTGGGAAGAGGTTAGTATGTGGCTGCTACATGCTTTTGGGGTGGACTTCATACACCCGTCACCCCTCTGGGGTAAGAGCAGCAGGTCCCCATCCCTCTGGGATGGGACTTGTTTGCTGGGGGACGGGTGTATCATGTGCAGGCAGAGTGAACTGTCCCCGTGGGATGGCTGTGCGTGTGAGAAACACACAATCACTTATCCCTCTGGAACAGGGTGATGGGGTCCCTCACATTGACCGAGCCCCGTACAGGGTGGAATAGTTTCCAGGGGTATCTCTGCCTCGCAATCAAATTGCAAAATGGCTGGCACCTGACGACTCTTGGGGCTGCTGCCAGGGGCAGCCTGTGTCTGAGAAGTCACAGGCCTCTTCTCCATAGACATCTCCTCACTGCTGTCCTCTCCCTGAAAGCTTACGGCACGGGGTACGGGCTGCACCCAGGCAGTGATGGCAGGGGCGGGTACTGACGATGAGGCAGCTCCTTCCTTCTGGCAGGTGGTGTCATGGTGATAGGAAGCCAGCTCATTGCTGAAGTTGACTCTCTCCACAGTGGATCTGGGTGTGCCACAGCAGAAGCACCGGCAGCCCAGCAGGTTGCTGAAAGCCCGCCTGAAGTCTGCGTTGAAAGCATAGATCACTGGATTCACTGAGGAGTTGGCCCAGCCAAACCACACAAAGATGTTGAAGGTGGTTTGGCCAACGCAGGGTGACTGCCCTTTGTGGTCACTCTCCAGCATGGGCTGGCAGAAAGGCAGCAGGCGGTTGAGCAGGAAGAAGGGCAATCAGCAGCAAACGAAGACTCCCATTATGATAGAGAGGGTCTGCAGCACCTTGGTCTCCTTGCGCAGGCAACTCCGCAAAGAGGAGGTGGGCTCCTTGCCGTGAGCTGGCCACTGCCCCCCTGCTCGCTCGAGGGTGGAGATGCGGCGGATCTGGGCCTGGGCAATTCGGTAGATCCTGGTATAGGTGATGATCATGATGGCCACGGGGATGTAGAAGCTGATAAGGGAGGAGGTGATGGCATAAGTGCGGTTCAGGCTGATATCACAGCGGGGCATCCCAGGCAGCCAGGAGCCTGGGTATCTCACGTCCTTGGCTTTATGCCAGCGTAGCTGCACTGGGACGAAGGAGATGAGGATGGAGAGGGCCCAGGCCACAGCTATCATGGCGCAGGCAAGGCGCTGCATCATCCTGCGCTTATAGCGAAAGGGGCTGGCGATGGCCCAGTACCGGTCCAGGCTGATGATGCAGAGGTGGAGGATGGAGGTGGTGGAGCACATGATGTCGAAGGCCACCCA